AAGACCAGCAAGCTGCTATTGTTCAAGAAGGGCGATCTCCACGATGTCGGCAACTATCGCCCAATCTGCTTTGCTGTCTGACGCCTTTAAACTATTCACTCGAGTCATCCTAAACAGGATTGATAGAACACTGAACGAAGGAGAGCCATGTGATCAAGCAGAGCTTCGAAGAGGATTTAGTACGATGGACCACATCCACACAGTAACACGGCTCATTGAAGTATCGCGAGAGTACAAAAGACCGCTTTGTCTCGCTTTCATTGATTTATAGAAGGCCTTTGATTCAGTTGCGATAGAAGCAGTCTTGGAAGCCCTTGATAGTCAAGGAGTCCCTAATCAGTACATAAAGATTCTTTGTGAACTGTACAAAAATTTCGCAACCAAGATATCACCATTCTGCAACGATATTAACATTGACGTCAAAAGAGGAGTTGGGAAAGGCTATACCATCTCGCCAAAATTATTTACCGCAACCCTTCAGAACGTCATGCGAGCATAGGAATGGGATAATATGGGAGTGGAAATCGATGGTCGTCAGTTCCATCATCTTCACTTTGCTGATGACATCGTCCTCATAACACCAAACATTAGCAAGGCGGAACGTATGCTTGACGACTTTGATAAAGCCTGTGGAAAGATTAGTCTTCGACTAAATCTCACAAAAACGATGTTCATGAAGGACGAATAGGTCTCGCATGCCCCATTCACGTTCAACGGAACGTATATCTCTGAATGCTCCAGTTGGATCTATCTAGGTCGGGAAATCAATACGACGAACGACTTAGCTCCAGAGCTGAGCAGAAGAAAACGAGCGGCTTGCAGAGCTTTCAAGAGCATCGAGGATGTGGTGAAGAGAACAAAGAACACCCGACTCCGTGCCCACCTTTTCGATTCGACGGTACTTCCTGCCCTAACGTATGATTCAGAAACCTGGTCGCTGCGTAAGCAGGATGAAAGATCATTCAGTTTATCGAACGCGCAGTCGAAAGGACGATGATAGTAGTATCCCCTTTTACACAAATAAGGGATGGGATCCTAGGCTCCGACCTGCGCCAACAATCAATAATAAAAGATGCCGTTCTGTACGCCAAACAGTCGAAGAATAGGTGTGCCGGAGACGTAATGCGTATGAATGACAAACGGTGGACGAGAGCCGCTAGTGACTAGATTCTTCGGGATATCAAACGCACTGCTGAAAGACCATCGACCCGATGGTCAGAGTTCTTTACAAAGAGCATTAAGAAAGATATGATGCTTGACGAGTTCCTAGAGCGAGCAGAACCCACTAGTCTACTCTTGCACGCGACAGAGAAAAATGGAAAATTTACTGGCGGCCGCTTGTGTCACTCGACGATCAGCGGGACTACAGGTCAGGTGATACAGGTGACCACAATCATGGAGCACTGTGCGACTACGAATCTTAGATGAGATCGTGGAGAGGAAGAAAAGCTAGAAATTTGTTCTACTCTAAGAAACTATAGAAAGTTAGGGAGGTGACTTATGTAATTCATGAAAATAGCTAAAAGTTCAAAAATTTTGCTCCAGATATCTAAGTTCACCTGAACGATTCACTGTCGTCGTTTTCTTCACGACGCCTTTTCTCCTTTAAAAATGCTTCAACGTAGTCGTTGGATTCTTCGGTTTCGAAGTCGATATCCTTTTGGTGAGCCTCAATCTGGCGATCGAAAAACGAAAAGAAGGCCTCGCGATGGAGAATCAACCTGACAAATTCATTCCATATTCACCGTAGGCTTGAAAGACTATAAAGAAAATAAGCGGTTTCGTTTTGCGTTCATGGTGAAGAGCGCAGATTAAGGTTGAAAAAATTTTCCAACTATTTCTATTCTTTTTAACTTTATAAGGGTAAATTCTGTCCTAAAGCAACTGAATTTTTCGACATTCCACATGTGGCGCTTAGTTAAAGTTCACAAGTGGTTGACTGCGATACTAAGCGGTTTCTACCTGAACTGCAGTTAACGTTAAAACATCTATATGGTCAACCGAATACCTAGATAAGTCTCATAGCTACCTCTTGGAATTCGTCTCATATAACTGATCAGTGGCTAGAAGCTCCCTGCAATACACATGGGTATGATCCATCACCCTAGGCTCACCAATCATTCAATCTCTCCTAAGTCAGCAAATTGGTATCAGACCCATTTGGGACAATAGCAGCACTGACTTAACAGATTGATAGACCACCGCAAGGTTAGTGTATAAGCCAGGTATGAATCCAACGACATCTAACGATGCTCGGTGAAGTCGAAGGCACGGCGCATCCCTCGGAGATTGATCACCGCGGGTAGCTTTATCCTTTTATAATTATCAGATCTGCTTACATCATTTGTTCCTTATGTGTGCATTTTCCAGATTTTTTCAAAATTTTCTAAATTGGGTGAAGCCAAAATTTGAGCTAAATCCTTCAACCTAAGGAGGAATTCAACATGTCAAATTGAAGAGAAGGAAATTTTCTCCTGTCTTAACTACTTTGCCTAGCAAGCTCCAGCATTCAGTTGCACAGAAGGCTGTTCTCGCAATAAGTCAAAAGATAGATTAGAATGCTGATTGAATGCAGAAAATATTGAGCAAATTGAGGGAATTCTCCAATTCGCGACGTTGTTCAATGTCATCAGAGGTAAATAGGAGTTCCTGTGCTCTCAGTCGTCATTTCCTACTTATCTAAGAAAACCGTTTTAAAAAAGGACGATTATGCAAGCTTTTCATTTGAAACTGGGTTCCAAAGTTAAAAAAACTCAACGTATCTCATTTCATAGGAGGAAAAGACAGCAAATCACAAGAAAAAGCCCCAGCAATCATAGTAGGTGCGATTGCTTCATTAACACTGCAGATATTTGGCTCCATACTTTACTTACTTGATACATGATATTTGAACGGCCCGTCCTGGTTGCGCAGGCACAAACATGATCCCCATTTTTCGGAAATTTGCTGGTCAAACCACTGTGGTTCCCTGGAATCCCGATAACAGCCTTGTCAAACTCTGCCCCAAGTCTTCACCACCATAGGCGGTCTCAGTCCTTGTGGATCAGAGGGAGATTTGCCCTCGTGCGACTTTGATACCAGGACGGTAGTGGATCACGGTATTGGTTTATTCTTAGCTAGACTTCCTGATGGAAACGCCGGAGTCCTTCTCAGGTTGGGAGATCCTGCCGTCGGGACGAATCTCTCGATATACATCGCAGTACCACATTTAGGAACACCTCCCAGCCACAATGAAGGGTTCTACTGGTATTGGTTTACTCTTATCTAGGCTTCCTGATCCTAAAGGGCGCGTGGGCGCAGTGGTGGAAGGCGCCCTGCAATACACATGGAATCGACTCCCGCGCTCTGGCCCACCAAACCTTTCATCATTCCAAGGTCGGCAAATTGATGCCAGGCTTGTCTGGGAAGACAGCAGCATTGGTTCGATAACATCGGTAGGCCATCGCGAGTTATTGTAAAGGCGGCCAGATACGCACTCAATAACCTCCAGCGATGCTTAATGAATTCGAATGCACTGCGCATCCCTCAGGGTTTGTCCAACACAGAAAGGTTCTATACCAACACGAACAAATTCGCCTAAGAATATAACGATCGAAAAAACGTAACATCCTTTTTACTAGTTATCTAGAAATCGAGAAAAACCTCGGTTAATCAACGTGACCAAATATCGCTTTATCCCGATTGTCGCGATATTAAAACACCAGTGAGAAGTTTCATACGTGGTAGGCAACCCGAGTGCTGAATTTAGGAAGTTACTCAAAGAAGCCATTAAAAATCAAAAGTAGACAGCTTAATGAGGTTCGAATGCGTTACACTCGTGGGTCTTTCGAAGTCCGTCAAGCAGTCTTGTTGACGACATATCGTAACTGATGTGATGAAATCAACCTTCTTCATCATTCCTCCAGCCGTTAATCTCACAATTCACATCAGTTGGAAGTGGAAAGCGAGTAATGCGGTCACTATTTCTAAGAAAAATTAGCTAACACTAGTAGCTATCGCTTTATCTTTTTCATGCCTCTTGCCTAAATGTTGCTTCTCCTATCGATTTGAATGAGATTTACAGCATGGTGGATGAAGAGCAACAATATACGCACATAGAGTTCCTCAAAGCATACGGCATGATTGACTGCACTAACACGTCACAAGTCCCACCTAAGTAGAGTGGAAACTAAAGGCACTTTGCCTCGTATGGACGTGAGCTAAACTTCGAACTGACACGTACTATGCAGAAGCAAATATATATTAGGGAGCAAGCAGCGCTATGGTAGTGATGTTGTTCATTACAAGCGCTTGTTCAACCCCACACCAGCCCCCTCAAGAGTTCCTTTCCTCTAAGTTCAGGAAATTGGCAGCGGACTTCCCTATGACCAACTCAGTAGTGGAAGCCAAGTGGGAACCTCCTAGTACGGCCATCCCACTATTGCAGAGAGAGAGTCGACTTAAATAGAATTCTGCGGCATTCATGGTGCATGCGAAGGTTCTCATATAGCAACCAAACCAACACTAAAAAATACTGAAGACCTTTGTGGACAGTGGATGAATGGATCTAATGATGGAAGGGGGAATTCAAAAAATAGATGATGTCGTTTCGCGTAAAACAAGCAATTGCCGAGTCTTCGAATAACCATGATGTTCCTGATAAGCACACTGGAATTACACCACAACTCTACCATTGAAGTGTAACAAAGATCCTTAGACACTTAAATGGACAGTATCCAGATATGTCGCAACATTTCGTTTGTAGGCTTGTCTAGAAAAATTCTTTTGTTTCGCTACTCTAATTACTTGCCTACTAAGCAACGAAAGTCCAAGCAGTGTAAAATTGCTCTTATCAAAGCTTCTCTTTTTCTGATGAAGGAACATATTTCGGGCAATTCTTTCAAAAAGGTGGTTGTTAATTATTATTATAATTATAATTATTATTATAATTAATTATAAAAATTTATTTTTTAAATATTCAGAACGTTGGTCAATGTCGATGAATACAGAAGGAGTCAAAAAGGTGCTTAAGTGAAAGAGAACTCTTAGTTGGAAGAAGTAATGAGAAGAAAAGAATAGTAAAAAAGAAATAATAAAAAGTAAGAAAATAAAGATAATAAAAAATAGAAAACAATAAGAAAGAATAGTTTAAATTTTACAAACTATCAAAAGATATACGTTAACATGTCGGTCACGCTTCTTGCGAAAAATTATAGATTGAAGTGATACTGATACTGATAATCGCACCATTATTCTCGAAGTGGGACCGCCTACAGCGCAAAGAGAAAGAAATTTTCGCTAGCTTCCATCTCCCTGCTTGGGAATAAAAAAAATGGCAATATTATTGTTTTTGTTAATAATTATTTGAATTCTTAGGCCGTCCATCCTGATGTAATGTGCAGATTCCAGCACTTCGTCTATTCATTTCGACTTACTGCAGTCTAACCACATGGTCGGCTTCGCTTGTGTTTGGCTATGATTTAGGAATCCGTCGTCATCATACCTCATTGAGATGGGAAGCGTTGGCATGGTTATTCCAGCAGTGACGAGATAATCATGTGGATTATCCTGATGCTCAATTTAGTCAACCGACCGCCAGAAGGTGACTTTACAAAGCGAAATAACCTCTTCAGTACATTGTAAAGAAACTTCGAAAAAAAGTTAACGAACTTCTTCCACTTGCTTTCGAAATACGGCAGAATTTTCAGCCAAGGGTAAAGGAACATGATAGAACCCGAAGGATGCGAGAACTCCTTCAGATGGCGAGATATCATCCCTTTTAGTTCACGAAACTCCTTGAGATTGTCCTAAAATATTAGAAGTCAAAAATAAATACACAAAAATAAAGTAATAAAAATAAATATGCAATAACTAAAATCACTCACTCCTTCAAAGCGATAGCCGAACAGTAACTGATTGATTACTGATCCAACCCCAACGTCGAAGATGTCCTTAATACTTCGGGCAGTGAAAAGACTAATTACAGCAAAGATAACAGTCACCAAATATCTTGTCGAGAAGAAATGATATAAGTGAGACCTGCATTACGATTTCCTTTCCTTTCATGGCGTGTAATGACTCGCTCATCGCCTCAACTTCAGCAAGAATCTCAAAGAAAATATTTGCAGTCGTAATAAATAACAATGCAGCATAATTCTCAGCTTTTAGAAAAGAAAATGCTTACTCGCCGTTCCATGACGTCCTTACTAAGACCCAGGTCTCTTAGCACATGGATAGCGAACCTCCTGTGATCTCGCCACATCTGTCCGACAGTTTCAACAACGCCGTAATCTCCTCCTGTGAATAGAATTCTATAACCATCTTTTATCATAAACCGCGAAGTTTCACGTGCCTTTTGTGGGTTTAATGTGTTTCCCACTAGGTTTCCTAGTAAATCCAGTGGCTCAACAAGCTAGTCAGTCCCAACTAGCGCTCACATTAAGCTCTCCCGTGGTGAGAAAACCAGTAAGGAGCGATCAAATCTCGGATTGCACGGGATTTCATTGAAATCTTATAGAAAAAATAACCACCGCACACGATGAAAGCTCTTCATTTCACTACCTAAAACGCCTAGGATGGGTTCTCAGACTCCAATATCTGTGCTATTCTTGAGATTGCATCAAACTCCATGTGGCACTGCAAGAGACAAAAAGCAAGAATTTGCCAATTGGATGATGAAACTTTATAATTTATGGAAGAAAATGTTCGTTACTATGTGTCATAGACATTGTAGTATATCCAATTGTAACCCGTCATTTCCATACGATATTTCTCCCGTTGTTTGGCCGTTTTATGTCTTCGTTCTCTATGTTGAGAAATGATTATCCTAAGCAACTGCTGGTCACCAACCTGTGCCATCTATTTCAGATCGCACTAGATGCGTTGATCAGTTGGAAGAAGTACTCTGCTATAAGAATTCCTTTTATAAATTCCTTATCGAAGATTTCATTGACAGACTAGGAAAGACTAGAAAGAATAAATAAAAGGTCTGGAAATCTTAAGCGGAGATCGAACGGAAAATGAGAGCTGTATGTTGACCGACTGTGCACAGCAATTCCCACTAAAGAAATTTTTTTTCTGAGAAGGAAGTATGTCAGTGCCAGATATTGAAGCTGCTTAGAAGCGCTGATTTTTCGGGAATCGATCACGTTCTCACAACGAAAGAATGCTGTCATCTTGACACCTTCATAGTGCTTTCATTTTACAGTGAGTGTGATTACCTCCTTTTCTGTGCTAAGCTTCGATTCAGTCATAGTTTGAAGGAGAACCATTATCTTCGCTGAAAACGGAGAAGCCAAGGAGAAAAACTTTTGAATGAAACCTTTTCCGAATTACTTACTAACTGAATGGCTAAAAATCTCTAAGTTCTACTAAGACAAGTTTGGCTGAGATCAACAGCGCCACTATAGAGTTTCTCCAGATGGAAAAGGAACTGAAGCTTGATCCGACACCAACACCTAAAATGGCTCGTTATAAGTAACAGCTGCGAAACAGTTTTATAAAAGGACTTACAGCTATATAAAAAATGGGAAGAAATTGCCATGCTGTACTATGCCAATATAGGGTTTGGCCATCGGTCCTGACTAGCGTAGACGGTATTTTCGCCATATATTTCCATGATATAGAAATATTTACCAGAATCCACATTCTGTTCCCCAAGATTTCTTCAGGAAAGAAACCGTTTTTCATTATATCTTCTGAATTTCTAGTTGCGATAGAAAACATAGAAAATGGTGCAGCGCCAAAAGTTAATAACATTAGAGATGATATCCTTCGATTTAGGAGGAAAAGCAAAGTACAACCACAACGTTGCTGAGATATTTGCAAAACTCTGGACCGCAGGTGTCTATGGTGGGAAACGAACGCGTTATTGTCCTTTACGGGGAGTAACGCGTTCACCACCACACCATGCGGGTCGCCCCAGATCAATCCCGCTGACGGGTGATTGCTGTGGCAAAGATCGATAGAAATAGCTGAGAGACAGGCGAAACAA